CCTGCAGAATCTCAGCCTGAAGACCTCGCTACTTTGGAGGCTGAAGCCGAGCAATCAGCCAAACGTCGCAGGACTGACAAGCAGGATAGCCTCGCTGCCGCCCTGAACAAGTACAAGATCAAGAAGGAGGAATGGGCGAGACTTGATGCTTCCTCCGAAGCAGCCGCTGCTGGCCGCCTAGTCGAAAAGGAGCGGGAGGCTGAGAAGCGCTTCGAGAAGCTCAAGAAGATCCGCATGGCCAAACTTTCAAGCGTACGGTCTGACGTCCTTGAAGCCGGCCGTGTGCTCATGATAGTGAACGGCCATGACTCCACCAAGACCCCTAATATGGCTGATCTTGAACGACTGGGCGAGGCACGTCGGTGGCCTGATTCGCTCGAAGACCAAATAAATTTGGTTCACGATCTGCTTCGTCAGACGTCTGAGGACAGTCATCGCCTCCTCTACTGGGTATGCTTGTCTGACGTGGTCGAGCGCCAGTTCCTCTTCAGACCGGCTGAGTCCGCATTCGCTTCCGTTGCTCGCCTGATGGGGGGCGGCTTCTGCGGCGCCGCTTGGACAATGGCGTGCATGAATGAAGCCCGTCTTCTTCCGGCCTTGACAGCACTTCATTGCAGCTTGACGACGAAACAGGAACTATGCCTACACAGCTCCTGTATGTCTGACACCTCTGCTGTGGATGCGTCAAGGATGCTGGGGGCTGTCCTCGATGGCATAGAGAGGGCTGACCTTACAGTGCAATGGACACGTCGCAAGAAATGGCGAGATGTCACTTGCAAGAAGTGTTCGGTCATAGTCGACAGTGAGACGGCTGACAAGTACAGGAAGAAGAAGCAGAGGCATCCTGGCTGTCTGATGACAGTGGCGGAGTTCATCGCTGCCAGCAACACGGCTCTTCTTTCGTTGGTACTCGCACACAAGCTAGGTCATGACTTTGCACGTGTACATGCAGTTCTCTACTCAGGCACGAAGTGGACTGACACCTGATACCGCCCGATGCTGCCTGAACGACTGAGCGACGATGCCAAGGCCATNNATCATGTTGTCCAATCTAACTTCTTAGTTGACTTGGTCAGGCACTTCCATACAATCGTCCAGTGCTTGAACGTCAAGTGGTCGGCGTGCACCGGCTCCGACTGATTCGTCAGGAACCTTGCTGCAATTGTTATTTCTGTTGATTCCTGCCCTTACCTTCTGAGTGATCCTAGGTACCAAAGATGTGTGGTTTGCTGCGACAGCAATGCCGCCGAGTCGCACTGCTGTCCCTTTGCTGTGGGTTCCCTGCTTGCTCGCTTTCTGAATGAATCCTAGGCAGTCGTGCTCTGCCTACACGGCCTGAAAACCAGGGGTGGGGCTGCCTTGAGCGCCTCGGGGATGTTTCCTGAAGTGAAGCAGTCCGAATTTCACGTCTGATATCCATCCTGCATTGGCGACAACATTATCCTCAAACACATCTTTCTATGTGATCTCGGCTGCTTCCACGGAAACTCGCTTGTAGATGACTGATGAGATTGGGGTGGAGCCGGGGAGACGAAAAAGTCCCGTCGCAGATCTGTCTGAGAAGTTGTGCATGCATCGGCTTTGCCACTGTCCTGCTTGGCTGCGGGGCCTTCCGACCGCTGAGGTTTGACCCCGGCGGCAGACTGAGTGCCTGACTGATCGCAAGACAAAGGAAGCCTGAAGCCTGAAGCATCGAAGCCACAACACAACATCGCCTGAAAAACCGCAAGCTGAAGCCTGAAGCATCGAAGCCACAACACAACATCATTCTCACCTGGAATCGAGCAAGTGATGCGTGGAAAGAAGTGTTGGACGTCGCCATGCTGTGCTGTAGATGCTTAGTTTCCGGTATAAAAGTTTCAACTTTTATGGCCCGGGCCTTTCAGCCAGTAAG